AATTATTTTAATTTGACATTAAATACATATATGTATAATATGCGTCATAATGGTTTCAAATAAATATGAAAATCGGATACAATATTTGTTGTAAATTGTAATTACTACCATCATGAAACATAATATAGGTACACAGGTTACGATAATATAACAATATTATGTATTCTGTTAGTAACATTATTATATTATAATACCAGTATTTTATTGCAGTTACTAGTTACATCTCGGTATCTTTATATAAAATAACTCTAGGTAATTTAATTACTTTTAAATATTATTAACTAATGAATACTTAAAAGTAATATAAATTGTTAACAGTTGGACGATGAAGCAAATAAGAAGTCCAATTACCTTCTGGCTAGAGCACAACAATTGCGACAAGACCAAGAAGATGAAATAAAACAATGCAACTCTTTAATATTAAGTACCAAGTGCCATGCCATCAGAAACGCTCAAATTGCTGAAAAACAACTTATTCAGTAAGTTGATTATATATACACTGTATATATAAATTATACAGCTTATACGATACACCTAAATAATAACACTCGTATACCTACAGTAATATTATTATTTATTACATATTATTTGTATTAATGGTATGTATAAAAATGTACAAAATGTAAAAGATAGTAGTAAATCGTAAATTGAAAAATATGTAACGTTTATAAACTAAAATAATTTAAAAAACCTCGATGTTATGCATACCTACGTAAATATGTTGGGTAATACAAAAAAAAAAGCAGTTGGGTGATAAATGTAGGGGCATGAAGTAAAAATTCTATGTTGCAAACACAATTATTTAAAGCTCAATTAGAGCTTTTCAGCGTTACCAGTTTCAAAATTCAAACGCAGTATAAAAAGTTACGTGGAGGCTTAAGCAGACGCTACACCGACATGTGTTGTTTCCGTCTTAAAAATGTAAAACATTGGGAAAACTGTTTTGCGTGGGAAAGAACCACTCAATGTGAAATCCAAGCTAAGAAACCAAATTTTCATACTATAAAGAAGAAATAGTTTAGTGTGCAACGTGGTTTTCAATTTTTCGATATCACAAATACGAAAAAAGTTCTTATTGATTAGGAATTYATAATTTTTGAGTTTTTCAAACTTGAATAACTTTTTCTTAGTTCTGATATCGAAAAAATAAAAACAATGTTGCACTGTAAATATTCTCCTCTTTATAGTGTGAACATTTGGTTGCTTAGCTTGGATTACGGCTAAAGTGGTTCTTTCCCGCGCAAAATAGTTTTCGCAATGTTTCACATTTGTAAGATTGAGACAACACATGCGGGTATAGCGTTCTCTTAATCATAGCGCCTTATTGAATCTATATAAGTTTTTGTAAGTATATATTCAAATTTTATAAGTCCCACTACCATTAAATTAATCCAAAAAAAATCATTTATCCACACTTAATTGTTATTGGAATTTATTTTGGAAAATATTTTAATTTTACAGCTCTTTCTCGAAAAGTCGAAAGTATATAAAAATTAAATTCTTCTTCTGAAATATTGAATGATAAATATTATATATAAATTTATTTATAGTTTATARAAAGGTAATAGGTACTTTGGTAAATTATGAGCACATATGATATTTTATCATTTTCATTTAATCTTCGCATTAATAATTTGATTCCTTTTTTTGTGTAGAAAATTATTATTATTATTATATATTTATCATTCAAAGATTATTTACGTATATTAAAGAATCTTCTATGAGTTAGTGGTTAAAATAATATTGATTCATTTTATGAAATCTGACATAAATATTCTATTTACGTATTATCTAACGATACTGAATTCATAAAAGATCAATTTCAATAAGTCAGTAAAAATAATTTTTAATTATTAGTTTGATTACAGTATAATATACTGTAATCAAACATATTATATTATAATATATCAACTAAAAAATATTATGTATCCTATATGTTTACTTTGTAACACACTGGATTGCAAACTGCCAAACTATATGAATATTAAAATATTATTATAAAGCATATTAAAAAAAAATTAATTGTT